GATCCGGTGACGAGTCACACCACCGCATCGCCGCAGGCTGACTCTCAACAGCTACTTCCGGCTGACATCACTGAGTTGCCAGTCGCCTACCTAAAGAGCTTTAACGAACTGCTGAAACGCAACAGCAGCCAGTCGGCGGTGGTGTTCCTCAACCTGCCTTTGCCGCCGGAAAATATTGAAAGCGCAGGCAGCTACGTGGAAAGGCTCGACCTGATCACCGCTGACCTACCCCCGTCGCTCATGGTGTACGGCATAAGTTCGGTCATTTCTACCGCTTTATAAAAGGTCTAGACCTTATGTCACCGTCATCCTCTGCGACGTCGTTTTCGATAACGAATTGGCGTGTCCTGTACTGACATGATTCTTATTCTAATGCATCATATGCTAGCCCATCGTCTGTTTGTGTAACCGATGCAACTGTGATAGCTTACTCTAACTTATTCATGTTCATGTGGTTCATTGTTACGACTGTTTTCTGCGTTCACTCAGTTCTTGATGCAGGATTCTTTTATTACTTAATGCTGTTGCTGGTTGTTTTTGAATGAAGTGAATTTTTCACGCATGTTAAATATTTTTTTTCATATTGATTATGTGTTAATCTTCAAGAATATGGTTTTACAGTTTTCGATGTGTCGTCGACTAGCTTTACTTCTCCTCAAACGAATTTCATGGCGCGTTACCTCACTCCTTGGCTTATAGTTGCCTAGGAGGCCATTTACGCACTCAGTGTCTCCATATTACATTTCAGTACATGCATCGCGAGACCTTTTTCTTGCAATAGGCTTTAAAAGACAGACAACAGATTTAATATTTATCCAGTCCATGAAATTAATTAACCAGCAGCATGGGCCAAAAACACACATTTTTTCTTCAAACGTTACGACAGTTCCGGATAACAGAAAAAACTTCGAAAGTCAACCCTGTCCACCTCGAAGAATGTTTGTGAGGCAAAAGCCGAAACGTTAATCGCCAGATTTACCAGTTTTTTTGCGTTGTGCTTGAATAAACCGTTTTTAAAGTTTTCAGTCTGATCACCAAAGTGCGAAATATTCGATCTTTGGATGAAAAATACATCAGTTAAAACTAGGAAATATGATATGCATATAAATTCTATTAAACAGCTTCTCGCAGTGGATCGAGCTGAATCGATCTCCATGAGAAATTACGTAGCAACAGCTGAAAAACGATTGTAGCTTTGTTGCACACCGAAGGATGTTCTAAAAGTGCAAATACGATCAATAATTGGTGCGTAGTGTAGTCCAAGTTGGCTGATGTGGATGTAATCTAGTTTTAGTCTCCTTTAGCATGTCCTTTGTCCTTTTTTCAGAGTGAAGACAAATACCATTTTTTCTGGTCAGTTATTTGCATTCTTTGATCTCCCGCTTCCGGTAATTTGTTCGTGCCAGACCCGTTTCGTTTTTTCCCGGTCTGTGTCATGACCCTTTTTCACCACGTGTTGAATTAGTGCAGAACTTCGTACTGTAATTGGTCTGTTTTCTCCATGTCGTTTCTGTTCTTGTCCATTTTCTTTGATCAGCATTGTTCAATCGTGTGCTCTTTACTACTATCTTCGATATACTTCCGGTTTCTCCAACATGCATAGCTCCAAATTCGCATGGATCTCGCCTCGTTGTACTTACTACGCTTAGATGGTTTGCTCAGTAGCTCATTGTTGTTGAGGTATTCCGGAAGTGATACTGACTAACCCCCCGCGTAATATTTCCAGTCATCTCTGAATCTGTTACCGGCTTCTTAATGCTGGTCCCGTCGCGAGTACTGGAAAAAGGAACGTGAAACGTTTGAATCTCAATACACGGTCAGTGTAATGAACGCACGGTTCAGCATTCCTCTTCCTTTCTGCTTGCTTTATTGAGTTGCGTAACTCGAGGTTAATTCGCCATTGTTATATTCTTCATGTAGTGAATGAAATTCGTGTAAA